GATTTAAAGGTGGATTAAGGATCTCATTTTCAGGCTCAATATCAACAGGGTTAGATCCAACATGTGATACAAAAGAGGTAAGGGGAAAAGACTCGACATTGTCTAATGCATTACCAGCAGGTAGAACATCTTCTATAGAACCAAGTGAAGCATGTGGAGAGGCATCATGGAGCTCATCAAATGTATCTGCATTAGAGTCACTAGGAAATAACTCAATAGAAGGGTTAGTAAAAATTGGAGGTTGATCAAAAGATAACACATGGAAGTTTGATAATGAGGAAAACATAGTATATTCCCAAAAGATAACATGACATGAGACTTGATATGTTCATGAGATGGAAGAAGAACAAAACAAGTTCAACCAAAAACCTTAAGAAAATCCTAGGCAGGAGGAATACCATGCAAATATTCGTATGGAGACTTATTATTGATGACCGATGATGGAATTCAATTAATGAGATAAATAGTTGTAAGAGCAACTTTACCCCAAAATCACTCTGGACAAGAAGATGAAATGAGCAGAGCACAAACAGAATCAAGGATGTGTCTATGTTTACGTTCAGCTCGCTTATTTGTTATGAAGTGTAAAGACAAGATTGTTGTGCCAATGTACCCAGTTCTTTCAAAAAGAAATGAAGTTTAGTACTAAGATACTTAGTGGCATTATTAGTTCTCAAAACTTTGATAATTTTAGAGAACTGAGTTTTGACCATGGTAGCAAAATCAATATAAATTTGTAGTAACTCAGAGTGATTTTTCATAAGATATATCCAGCTAAAACGAGTATGATCATCAATAAATAACACAAGGTACCTGTAACCCCCCATGGTAGGTGTCGAAGATGGACTTCACACATCAAAATGCACAAGATCAAAAGAAGCAGCAAAAAAAGAATGACTACTAGTGAACGATAAAGCTAGTTGTTTTGCAGATTGACATGACACACACTGCAAGGATTTATTCGAAACAGATCCTAATAAACCATGAGAGAGAAAAGGATGGAGCTTACCAACTGAAGTGTGTCCGAGCTATGAGTGCCATAAATGAAGAGGAGAAATATTAGTAGCAACACAAGCTTGGAAGATTTGTTGAAATGGAATTTGTAAAGAGTCTAATTCAACAATACAAAGTAGGGTTTGGATGAATCAGTCATTTGGAAATGATGGTGTATCCATTTTATGGTGAGGTATATGCAGATAATTGAGCTCAAACAGACATCCCACCTTGTGACTAGTTCCAAGAAGTTGTCTTGTCTATGGATACTACACACGACAACCATGAGCAAAAAATGTTATTTCAAGACCAAGATCACATAACTGACCAATAGATAAAAGATTATAACTGAGTTTTGGAACTAAGAAAGCATTTGGTAAAGTCAATGAATTTGTAGAAAGATTGCCAATGTGACTAACATTCATAAGAGAGCCATCAATAGAATAAATGTCAAGAAAGGGATTATTTGGTGACATTAAAGAGAAATAAACAATAGTTGAAGACATGTGATTACAACAACCAGAATCAAAATACTAAGGTTTAGTACCTAGAGTAGCAAATAAGGCAGTAGGAGCATTTAAAAGATTTAATATCACCTGTTTTAGAGATTCAGGGTTGGCAATAGGTTGGTCTATCACCTCTTTGGCAACCATTGCAACAGTAGGATGAGTCACAGTTCTTTCAAAACTCACCATAGAATCAGCAAAACTCATAATACTAAAAAATTCTCTAAAAATATAAAGAAATAGATGCAAAGATCGAAATCGCAACTCAACAAAATACCTTAGAAAAGGCGTGAGAATTAAGAATAAACAATCCAATTTGTAGGAGAAGAGATCCAAACGACAAAGTTTCATATCTAGAATAGATCTGAAAATCCAACTTAGTAACCAAGTAGTGATAAAAGAAGAACCAGGAGCTTATAGCTTTGATACCATGTTAGAAATTGAAAAGAAGGAGAAATATTTGAAGAAATGTTTATTGCTTTCTTGAATAATATTATATATATAATGACTTATATATAAGTGTTTACAAAGAGAATATTCTAAGGTACAAAGTATATAGAAAGAATATTTTAAGATATAAAATATTTACAATAAGTGTAAATACAATTTAAATTACTATATTCACATCTTAACACAGATTATATTTTGATGAAAGTATTCAATTAACAAGTTATCAATCATACAACCTGCATTTGGAGTTTGTAAGTTCATGGAAAGTATAAATTACGAAATGGTTATAAGAGTTTTCATTAGCAATTGATGATCTGTATTTGTATTTGAAGTTATTAGTCTGCCTGAGAATATTCCTATTAAAATGATGATGTCTTCGTAAGAATCTATACTACCAATTAAAGGCACTTCTAATAAGGGCACATCATTTCTTGCAGGTCCAAAAGATTTTCCTCACAAGCTTTTCCATTTCCTCATCAAAATTGCAGAGCTTCACAGCATGGATATGCCGCACTTATCATGCTCATATTATTTGGTTACTAGAAATTAATGTGGGGGGCTCCATTCATCCTTCTCTGATGCACGTTATAATCTGATGAAAAAATTGTTCTCAAGTGTTATCCAACCAAGGAGAGCCAATTGCTCAAAACACTAACAATAGAGAGGCAAAAAATAGAGGGGAAACCAAAGAGACCAAGAGAATATAGGAAAAGTGCTCGGTTGCAGGTAGGTAGATTTGGGATTTAATGGATTCAATTTTCAGATTTGATTTCTCTTCATATTATCTGATTTTTTTTTTTTTTTATACATTGGTCTCATATCTGATAAAATTGAGTTTCCTAGCTTCAATTTTAATTTCCTAAACAATTTATGGAAAAATACCACGCATCTTGTATAAGTTAGGGAGAATTTAGACTATTCTTTGCCACGCTGCCGAATTATTGCTTGCTACTAACTCACTTTGTTTCAAATTTTAACAAAGTAGCATGCTTTCATTCATAACAAGGCTACCCATGTGGCCGTAAGTTTAGGAGAAAAGGGAGTTTTTGTGCAGCTATGGATAACGAAATATCTACCATGCTTACAGCTCGGACGGGGTTTGTCATTCGTCTTCAAATGTTTAATTGTTAACTGCGTGATTTTTGCTGGATGTTCTTTTACGTAAGAGTCTGTTTACATCATAAATTGCAAAAATTTAAGATCATGCCACGTGTTAAAGAATTTCTAATTGATGAAGGAGATTTTGCCATGTCAAATTTGTTATTCTAAACTCCATGATAGATCAGCTGTCACATTGGCAAAAAAGGAGATAAAAATAAGATTTTACCATGTAATTACTTCTTTGAGTCAAAAAGGAACTATTTTAGCTGAAATTTAGGAGGGGATTGCAATTATAAAAGGGAGTTATCAGATAAGGGCACAGGTGGCGAAAATCTAGAAGAAAATCTAACTAGGTCAACTATTAAATTGTCCCACTACCTCAAGAAACCACCCACATTACTACCGGCAAAAGGAGAACAAAAAGGAAATTTTAGAAGAGACAACACAAGGCCAACCCAACTCAAACACCTGCAAATTTTCAGACTTTCATTTTCTCTGCAATTGCTTCCAGATTTCAGATTTTAGCACAATTTTCAATAGATCTAGGTTGTTTTTCATCATTTTTGTAGACAAATTAAATCATATATTCGCTTCAACAATTTCGTTTTATGCAATGAACTTCAATCTTTTAAATTTCTTCAAGGTACTGTTTCTTTTTCTATTTACAATTAATTTAATGTTTATGATAAGTAACATTTCTTCAATAATTACTTATATGGCGTTCACGCTTCTTCTCAACTTCAAGCATGTTAGTTTAATTCATGTTCATGTTTGTTTTAGTTTTAATCAAGGTAAAATCTCCAATTCTGCAGTAGTTTTATTTTCATATCTATCAATAGATAACATTTTAACTTAATAATGAACATGTTTAATTTATTTTGGGTATTTCTTGTTATTGTAAATTTACTTTAAATTGCATGTTATTTAGTTTAATTAGGATTTGTTAACTTTAATTCACGGTAGAATTTAAGTCCTTTGAGTTGTTCAAGATAAATTTCGTAACTCATTTTACATAAAGGTATCTATCCCTCTTGCAAATCGTTTGTAGGCGCAAATTTTAATTTTAATCTAATGTTCTTTTCGTCATCCACAAGGAGGTCGACCATAAGAAAGGAGAGGGTCATTGGGAAAATCCTTTTTTCTTACTTTCAACAAAATGAATGACACATCCACATCCAGATTTTACACATGTGAAGCCACTAGAGGACTTTTGAAGAAACAGAGTCTTTCAAGTTGATTTTGAAAAAGGTGAATTTGTATAAATTGGAGTATTGATAAGAATAATAAAACTAATATGGGAGTTGACAAAGATAGAAAAATAGAAATTTTACAAAATAATATCATAGCACAGGAAAATAGGATTAATGGTCTAACGTTAGAAGTTTTTATAAGAACTTAAATACGTGTAGGATCTTGTTTATGCTTAAGATAGGTTGCTTAGCTGAATTATTAATATCCCGGCGTAGCGAGGTAAGAATCACTTGTTAATGTTTGTGGCTGTGCCGTTGTTTTTCTCAAGTTGATTTTAAAGCTCGAATGGATATGCATGTGGCCAAGCGGTGCCAACATGTAAATTTTACAAGTCTAGGTGGTGTTGATGTCTAATTGAGCAATGGAAGTTTAACATTAGTGCTGCACGTAATTCTTTAATGTTAAATTTTAAGTGTGCTTGAAATTATTGTAAAGCATTATAGTTGTAGATATAGTTATGTTAAATTATGTTGTAATTGTAATTAAAAGTTATTTTGATATTTGAGTATTTATTTTTTAAAAATATTGTAGATAATATATGTTAAATTTTATTAATAATTAATTAAAATTTAAAAATATTATATAATATATAATTTTTAA